AGTCCTTCACCTCACTGAGCTGTAGTTATCAGCCTCTCAGCTTTATATCCGGGTGCTAGTGGAGCACGCTCGTGAACTGTTAGCGCCGGAGCCTCGCAGCGTGGAAATTACATTACATTACATTGCATTTAGCTGACGCTTTTATCCAAAGCGACTTACAATAAGTGCGTTCGACCAACAAAATACAACTTGAAGAAAACAGAATCATATAAGTACATCAGGCTTCATAGAGCAAAAACATTTAAAGTGCTACTCAACTGGCTTTAGATAAGCCAGTCCTTTATTAGTATATAAGTGCTTTGTTAATAGTTATATCACTCGATGTGGAGTCGAAAGAGATGAGTTTTCAGTCTGCGCCGGAAGGTGTGTAAGCTATCTGCTGTCCTGATGTCAATGGGGAGCTCATTCCACCATCTTGGAGCCAGGATAGCAAACCCACGTGTTTTTGCTGATGGGAACTTGGGTCCCCTTCGCAGCGAGGGTGCAGCGAGTCGTTTGGCTGATGCAGAGCGTAGTGCACGCTCTGGGGTGTACGGTTTAACCATGTCCTGGATGTAGGAAGGGCCAGATCCATTCGCAGCATGGTACGCAAGTACCATTGTCTTGAAGTGGATTCTAGCAGTTATCGGAAGCCAGTGAAGGGAGCGGAGGAGCGGAGTGGTGTGGGAACATTTAGGAAGGTTGAAGACCAGACGAGCCGCTGCATTCTGGATGAGCTGCAGAGGTCGGATGGCACATGCAGGTAGACCAGCCAGGAGGGAGTTGCAGTAGTCTAGGCGTGAGATGACGAGAGCCTGGACCAGAACCTGTGTGGCTTTCTGGGTCAGCTGGGGACGCATCCTCCTGATGTTGTAAAGCGTGTATCTGCAGCAACGGGTTGTAGCAGCGATGTTTGCGGTGAAGGACAAGTTGTTATCTAGGGTCACACCCAGATTCTTTGCAGTCTGAGTCGGGGAAACAACAGAGGTGCCGATGTTGATTGTTAGGTCAAGAGTGGGACAATCTTTTCCCGGAAGGAAAAGCAGCTCAGTCTTGTCAAGGTTGAGCTTGAGGTGATGAGCAGACATCCACTGAGAGATGTCAGCTAGACAAGCAGAGATGCGTGCGACGACCTGGGTCTCTGAGTGGGGAAAGGACAGAATTAATTGGGTGTCGTCAGCGTAGCAGTGGTATGAAAAACCATGCGGGCTAATGACTGATCCGAGCGAGTTTGTGTACAGGGAGAAGAGGAGGGGACCAAGAACAGAGCCCTGAGGGACCCCTATAGTTAATTGACAAGGGTCGGACTCAGACCCTCTCCAAGTAACCCTGTAGGTGCGGTCTTTGAGCTATGAGGTGAGGAGGGAAAGTGCAGAGCCTGAAACTCCAAGTTCTTGGAGAGTGCGAAGGAGGATCTGATGATTCACCGTGTCGAATGCAGCAGACAGGTCCAACAGGATGATGACAGAGGAGAGGGAGGCTGCTTTAGCAGTGTGCAGTTCCTCCGTGACAGCAATGAGAGCAGTTTCTGTGGAGTGACCTGCCTTGAAACCAGACTGGTGCTGATCCAGAAGGTTGTTCTGATGGAGATAACAGGAGAGTTGTTTAAAGACAGCGCGTTCAAGTGATTTAGACAGGAACGGGAGGAGAGAGACAGGCCTGTAGTTTATAACATCAGACGGGTTGAGAGTGGGTTTCTTTAGGAGAGGGTTTACTCTTGCCTCCTTGAGACTGTTTGGAAAGTGACCAGAAGTTAGAGAAGTGTTGATGAAATGGGTGAGAAACGGTAAAATATCAGGAGCGATAGTCTGAAGGAGGTTTGAAGGGATAGGGTCCAGAGAACAGGTGGTAGGGCGGGCAGAGGTAATGAGGGTAAGAACCTCACTTGGAGAGAGAGGGGAAAAGGAGGTTAGTGTGTTGGTGGAAGGAGGGTCTGGTGACCCAGCGGTGAGTAGAGGTGAGTCAGAAATAGAAGAGCGAATATCATCAACCTTTTTTTCAAAGTGGTTAACAAAGTCGCTTGACAGAAGGGAGGAGGGGGGAGGGGCTTTGGGGGGGTCCAAGAGGGAGGAGGGGGAAGGGGCTTTGGGAGGGTCCAAGAGGGAGGAGGGGGAAGGGGCTTTGGGGGGGTCCAGGAGGGTGGAGAAGATGGAAAATAGTTTTTTGGGATTGGAATAGGAAGATTGGATCTTATCTTGAAAGAAAGTGCTTTTTGCCTGAGAGATCGAAGCAGAGAAAGAGGAGAGGAGAGCCTGATAGGTTAGGAGGTCGTCACGGTGTTTGGATTTCCACCGTTTCCGCTCAGCTGCCCGAAGGACGGTTCTATTAGCACGCAGTGCGTCATTTAGCCAGGGAGCAGGAGGGGACTGACGAGCCTGCCGAGATGTGAGAGGACAGAGAGAGTCCAGAGAGGAGAGTTTCTGCAGCAGAGTTTGGAGGTAGTAGTTGGAACGAGTCAGAGGAAGGGAGGGCTGAGAGCACCGACGAGGCAAAGGTAGAGGGGGAGAGGGAACGAAGGTTACGGCGGACAGGTGCAGGATGAGAAGAGATTAGTTTGTTATGTTTGGAAAGGGATAGAGAGAATGAAATAAAGAAGTGATCGGATGTGTGGAGCGGGTTTACAGAGAGGTTAGAAGTAGAGCAGTTCCTTGAGAATATGAGATCAAGGACATTGCCAGCTTTATGAGTTGGTGGGGACGGAGACAGTGAGAAAGCAAAGGCGGTAAACAGAGATGTTAGTTCGTCTATCTTCCCCGTCTGGAGGTTGAAGTCTCCGAGAAGTACAGCGGGAGGGCCAGTTTCAGGGATGTGTGAGAGGAGATTATCTAATTTCTCCAAGAAGTCCCCCAAGGCGCCTGGTGGACGGTAGAGAACAACAATGGTTAACTGTATAGGATGGGTTACTGTGACGGCATGGAATTCAAAGGTGGAAGGAGTGAAGTTAGGTAGCTTGAAGAGGGAAAAGCTCCATTTGGGAGAGAGCAGGAGACCAGTGCCACCTCCTCTGCCAGTGGGTCTGGGTGTATGGGAGAAGGAATATGCTGTGGAGAGAGCTGCTGGGGTGGATGTGTTGGATGGAGTAATCCACGTCTCAGTGAGAGCAAGGAAATCCAGAGACTGCAGGGAGGCGTAGCCAGAGATGAAGTCAGCCTTAGGAACAGCTGACTGGCAGTTCCACAGGCCACCTGAAACTAGATGTTGGATCTCAGTGGAGCACGTGGGATAGACGAGAGCAGGCCGGTTATATCGATTAGGAGATACACGGGAACAGTGATAATTGCGAGAAGACACATGAACAGGAATGGAGAAAATACACATGATTATAGCCTGAGGGGCTAAACAACCAAATAAAATAAAACACCAGCGATACTTTAGCTCAATCAAAGTAGGATTTGCCTCCTCTTTGCCTCCCTCGTGACTCCTGCAAAACTCCAATGTATTTGTCAGTCTTACTCCTGCAGGACTCCTTTGTCTTTGTCAGTCTTAGCCTGTCTGACGCTGACGCTCCAGGAAAGTGCTACCTAAAATGGACACCTGATTGCTGAGTTCTCACAGCTGTGGGGCCACGTCCCTTTAATTAGTTAACTCTCTGCAGCTGGTGGCCCTCAAAAGGAAATCTAGACTGGCTTCCTCCTGACTTGTTATTGTATTTTCAGTGGCCCAATGGTTTTACAATTACATTAAACCCTAAGTTATAAAGTTATGAGTTTAACCCTTAATACAGTTACACCTACTCAATAAAGCTCTTAGTATTCTACAAATGTTTAAATCAAAGTTAACCCTAGCAGTCAGTTAGTTCAGTTTTAAAGTTTCAGTCAAATGACTTGTCCCAAGTTTCTGCCTGACAGATACTGTAGCGGTTTTGAGATTTAAAATCACAATTTCAGTCAGATCAACTGCAGAGCATTGATACAGAGTACACACACTGAAACAGAGAAGTCTAAAGACAGAATGTTACTCACACAATTCTAGAAGTCTCCAGTTGCTTTCCTATCAAAATCGAGTTGCACACACACAAATGATTTTACAACTAAAGACACAGCTACACAAAACCCGCAGCAGGTGTACGGCTCATGTGCACGGCTCTGAGAATCTGCCTTGGTACACAGTAGCAGTGAAAATATGGTACGGAGTTTCATTGATTTGGGCATTCTCTCAATAAACAAGTGGAATGGATTTGATAATGACGCACTGACACAGCGCTCTACAAAGAGCGGCGAGGGGATAGACCGATGCACGGACTTTCCGCATAGTAAAAGTGGGGGGGTCTAAACTAATCATTTTAAAAGGTGGGGGGGGACTTGTCCCACCCTCATATAATGGCTGCGACGCCCATGCCCTTAACCCTTATGTTGTGTTCAGGTCTCCCGTGACCTGTTTCAAGTCAGGGTTAGTAATGTGTTTCGGGCCATCAAATAGAATGACAACAGGATTGTACGGTTATGAATGCATAATACGTTAGTTATGATGTAGTTAAAACAATATTGGATGATAGTCATTATTTCTGAGTGTTTTGAACTGAGATAAATCATGAACACCATGAACGGTAACAGCTATCGAACACAACACGAGGGTTCAGAAGATCTCTACACGGTTCAGAGGAGCCACTGACAGTTAGTGTAAGTTGCATTAATTAGCACATGCAGAGTAACAACAATACATCCCTCCAGCCATGAAAGAGATGCAGAGTAGGGTCTCCAGATCATAGAAATGTTGGATGCTAACCTGCATATGCTGGGACATTAGCACAGTTAGCATACATTGCATTAGTTTGCAATAATTGAGCATATGCAGACATAGTTAAAACATGGAAATGTCATTAATGGGTTCAGCCTCCTCAAGAACCCCCCAAACCACTCCAGAACTGTCCAAATCGGACAAGCCATTTTTTTACTTTTGTCCACATGCTGTAATTATGTTGCTAATAGTGTAATGTTCCAACATGCAGGTTAGCATCCTGCAGTGTCCGTGAGCTGGAGACCCTACTATATATATTTAATGTAATGTTTATATTGGGTCACCTTCTGGCTCCTCGTCGGCCTGGTCCATCTCCATGTTGGTCAGCAAACTAACGAACCATTCGAAGGACTTCTGGTCTCGGTTGATCCAGATGAAATCCACCTGCAGGGTCCACAACACAACAATGTCACATGATCTACGGCACAATATAACTCTGTGGTCAGATCGAGTCTGAAATGTTTCGTGCATCACAGCAGCTCCATTAGCCACTTCAACAACATGTCAATCCCTGCAGAGGAACCTGACCCTCTGACGGACCTCAGATCTGGGTTTGACTCAGTTGAGGATTGACAGGTAGGAGGAGACAGGATCTGATGGGACCAGTTCTACGGTTGCGGTCGAATAGTCCATTTAGCTTAGGACCCTTCCTAACGGAGTGAAATTACCCGGAAGTCCCTCAGTGGCAGCCATGATAAGTGCCGTTCCAATTCTCTACATGATAGGAAAGGAGGTTTCAAGCTTCCTTTATAACCTCCTTTAGCTTAGGAACCACTGGACCTCCCTCACCGAAAGGAGAGGAGAAAATGCTGCCCCACAATGCCTTGCAGCCGCAGCATTTGCCGTCACTCAACAGTCGGCCGTTCACGGAAACAACCGATTATGACGGAGAAATTGACCCAGAAAGCCACGCAGGTTCTGGTCCAGGTTCTCGTCACCTCACGCCTAGACTACTGCAACTCCCTCCTGGGTGGTCTACCTGCATGTGCCATCCGACCTCTGCAGCTCATCCAGAATGCAGCGGCTCGCCTGGTCTTCAACCTTCCTAAATGTTCCCACACCACTCCGCTCCTCCGCTCCCTTCACTGGCTTCCGGTAACTGCTAGAATCCACTTCAAGACACTGGTACTTGCTTACCATGCTGCGAATGGATCTGGCCCTTCCTACATCCAGGACATGGTTAAACCGTACACCCCAGCACGTGCACTCCGCTCTGCATCAGCCAAACGACTCGCTGCACCCTCGCTGCGAAGGGGACCCAAGTTCCCATCAGCAGAAACACGTGGGTTTGCTATCCTGGCTCCAAGATGGTGCAATGAGCTCCCTATTGACATCAGGACAGCAGATAGCTTACACACCTTCCAGACTGAAAACTCATCTCTTTCGACTCCACTTCCAGCGATAGAACTATTAACAAAGCACTTATATACTAATAAGGGCTGGCTTATCTAAAGCCAGTATAGCACTTGAAATGTTTGGCTCTATGAAACCTGATGTACTTTATGATTCTGTTTTCTTCAAGGTTGTGTCTTCCTGGTCGAATGTACTTATTGTAAGTCGCTTTGGATAAAAGCCTCAGCTAAATGTAATGTAATTTTTTGAAACCATGAGCTGCAAAATGAGCGCCTCACCCCACTGTACAGGCGAGTTGGGTACTTTTTTAAATATACCTGGCTCTGTTTTGCCGAGGTCCTCTGGCACTTGCGGGCCGCTGAGGGGTGGCGGTGTTTGGGGCAACGAAGACGGCTGCGGCTGCTCCGCCTCCGTGAGCGGGGAAAGCCGGCGAGTCGGGCATTAGTGTCACGGTGTGTGAAGCAGGTAGGACCCAAATTCAGATTAAAATGAAAGTTCCTTTATTTCAAGGCTAGGTGATGGGGATGGAGGGGGTCCGGAGGACGGGTCTGGGCTGACAACCCAAGAGCACCGCGGAGGACCCGGAAGGGATCTCGGGCGGACGGCCCGGGGGCAAGGCAGAAGCCGAGAAGGGGGACTCGGGCGGACGGCCCGGGGGCAAGACAGAGTCCAAGGTGGGGGTTATGGAGGGGCGAAGGCCATCGTGGGCGAACTCAGGGGGCCGAGCATGAGGGCGAGGACCGCGGCAGGAAGAGTCAGGGGGCCAGGCTCGAGGACGAGGGCAGCGGCAGGAAGAGTCAGGGGGCCGGGATCGCGGGCGAAGACCACGGCTCACAGAGGGCCGGGATCGCGGGCCGGGATCGAGGGCGAAGACCAGAGAGCTCCGGAAGCCGGGCAGGAAGGCGCTGACGGGCCAGCGCCGGAGGCCGGGCAGGACCCGGTGTCGGACGGACAGGAACCGGAGCTGGTGGGACAGGCCTCGGCAGGATCCCCCACGGAAGAGGACCAGGACACGGGATTGGCAGGACCCCCGGCAAGACAGAGGATGGCGGGGCCTCCAACGGAACAGGACAAGGGGTTGGTAGGACCCCCAGCAGGAGAGTAGTCGGCGGGGCCTCCAATGGCACAGGACAAAGGGTTGGCAGGACCCCCGGCAGGAGAGTAGTCGGCGGGGCCTCCAACGGCACAGGACAAAGGGTTGGCAGGACCCCCGGCAGGAGAGTAGACGGCGGGACCTCCAACGGGACAGGACAAAGGGTTGGCAGGACCCCCGGCAGGAGAGTAGTCGGCGGGGCCTCCAACGGCACAGGACAAAGGGTTGGCAGGACCCCCGGCAGGAGAGTAGTCGGCGGGGCCTCCAACGGCACAGGACAAAGGGTTGGCAGGACCCCCGGCAGGAGAGTAGACGGCGGGACCTCCAACGGGACAGGACAAAGGGTTGGCAGGACCCCCGGCAGGAGAGTAGTCGGTGGGGCCTCCAACGGCACAGGACAAAGGGTTGGCCGGACCCCCGGCAGGAGAGTAGTCGGCGGGACCTCCAACGAGACAGGACAAGGAGCTGGCAGGACCCCCGGCAGGAGAGTAGACGGCGGGACCTCCAACGGGACAGACATACGATTGGTAGGACCCCCGGCAGAGGAGTAGTCGACGGGGCCTCCAACGGGACAGGACATGGAGTTGGCAGGACCCCCAGCAGAACCTCCAACGGACCAGGACATTGGGTAGGGACTTGAGACGTGACTCGAGAGGGGACTCGAGAGGGGACCCGAGAGGGGACCCGAGAGGGAACTCGAGAGGGGACTCGGGTAGGACCTGGAGAGGGACCGGAGAGGGACCCGAGAGGGAACTCGAGAGGGGACTCGGGTAGGACCTGGAGAGGGGACTCGGGTAGGAACTGGAGAGGGGACTCGGGTAGGAACTTGAGAGGGGACTCGGGTAGGAACTTGAGAGGGGACTTGAGAGGGAACTTGTGTCGGTCGGTACGCCGACAGGACACGGGGAGCTGGCGTCGTCTGGGGAGCCAGCAGGAGACGAGGTGCTGGAGTCGGCCGGTACGCCGACAAGACTCGGGGAGCTGGTGTTGGCTGGAGAGCCAACAGGAGACGAGGTGCTGGAGTCGGCCGGTACGCCGACAAGACTCGGGGAGCTGGCGTCGGCTGGGGAGCCAGCAGGAGACGAGGTGCTGGAGTCGGAACCATGGCTGTATGGGCCAGCTCTGGTGCAGGGACCACGGTTGTAAGATCCAGTTCTGGAGCCGGAAACATGACTGTAAGGTCCGGAGCTGAAGCCTGGATCATGGCTGTGTGGGCCGGTTTTGGAGCCCGAAACATGGCTGCTAGGCAAGGAACCGGAACACGGATCCATGGCTGTGTGGGGTGGTACTGGAGCACGGTACCATGCCTATGTGGGATGGTACTGGAGCACGGAACCATGGCTGCTGGGGCCGGCACTGGAGCCGGAACCATGGCTGCTAGGCAAGGAACCGGAACACGGATCCATGGCTGTGTGGGGTGGTACTGGAGCACGGTACCATGGCTATGTGGGATGGTACTGGAGCACGGAACCATGGCTGCTGGGTCCGGCACTGGAGCCGGAACTGGCGCTGGAACCCTGGCCTTTCGTCTTTTAGGAGTCTTTTGGAGGCTTCGTGGACCTCCAAACGCCAGACCAGACCCCAGGAAAGGGTCAGAACATGAAGCCTGGTACTCAGGGCTACGTGAGAAAACCCTAAGCCACTCGGGCAACAAGCTCCAGAGCCAGGGCTTGCGAGCAACCTCCTGACGTGCCTCCTTCAACGCAGCCTCTCTACCCCGTCTAGATGAGGCGCCTTTCCACGTATAAAAAATATACTCCAGAGAGTATCCAAGACTTTCCGCCTGTCGCATCAAAAGGGCTGAATCTGCTGGGTCCATAATGTGGTCGGTTCGTACTGTCACGGTGTGTGAAGCAGGTAGGACCCAAATGCAGATCAAAGTGAAAGTTCCTTTATTTCAAGGCTAGGTGATAACACAGACAAAACAGAACACTCACCGACGAACTAGTCATGACAAAAGACGAACCGACAAAGACAGACAGAAAAACCAGAACTTAAATACACACAAGACTAATCACAGAAACAAGACACAGGTGAGGAGGGAGGAGAAAACACAGGGGCCACAGGTGAACACAATCGGGTAATCAGACACACCAGGGAAACTAACGACAGGGAACCACAGACAGATCCAAACAAGACACAACGCAGACAGAAACAGGCAAGACAGGAGGTGAAGACCTTTCAAAATAAAACATGAAACAAGACAAGACAAAACACCATAAAGACAGATCGTGACAATTAGTGTCCACGACAGTGGCCGCGGTTAACGTAATGTCCCCATGATCTGAACTGGTATTACCTGCAGTAGATGCAGTGTTACTGCTGGCGATAAGGGCTGGTTGTTTTAACCATGTTCTGAGTTCCATCATTGACTGCCGTGTAAGCACCTTGCAGAGGACGAACGCGCAGCGGCACAGGTCACGCACACCTGACATAATAACGTTACTTACCGTTTAAATTGACCAAATAAATGCAGCAGATAATGTTATTTAACCACAATTACCATTTATTTTATTTCAACTAAATTCTTATTATTATTATTGTTATTATTATTATTATATATGTAATATCTTTCTTTTTTTCACTTTTCATTTTTCCAATGACCGTGCATAACGACTCAACTGAGGGTGCAATGCACCCTTATGCACCCCCGTAGAACCGGGCCTGTCTCCTAAGTCCTTTTGAATCCACTATCCCTTAACCCTGTGACCTTTCACACAGAGGAGAAGAATAGTGGAGAAGACGAGAGGAGCTGACTTTTGGAGAATTCGACCTCGTCTGTGTTCAGGACGTGAGAGGATTCATAGAGTCTCTCCAGAGGGGGGAATAACTGAGTTCATTGACTCTAAACTCTTCTAACTCTTAACTCCTGACCCGCTGGTTAGAGATCTTACTTTGCGTAACGTCATGTCGCTGTCTTTCATGTTCTCGCACCAGGAGTATTTACAGCTGGGGCAGTTCTGCTTCCTCATGCGGTATCTGCAACACACACACACACACACACACACACACACACACACACACACACACACACACACACACACACACACACACACACACACACACACACACACACACACACACACACACACACACACACACACACACACACACACACACACACACACACACACACACAGTTATATCAGTGCGGACTGCTGCAACGCAAACATTTCACAAATTGGGATCAATAATTTACTTCTTATCTTATCTTATCTTATCATAGCAGTGACCCTGTCCCGCTGATGCATGCTGGGAGATGTAGTTCTGTGTGTGTGTCTGACCGGTGGTGTTCTTCATCAAATTACTTAAACTACTTCCTCCGTAAAAGAAACAAATAACATTTTAGTTGATCATAATCATGTTATCATCTCACTTAATATTCATAGCAGCTTCTTATCTTATCATTGTGTCACAATGTATTTTAATGATTCATTATTGCATGGTTTTAAGTGTGTGTTTTATTCTGAAATGTGTTTTCCTTTTTAACTGGTTTTAACTTCCTGCTGCATGCTTTTATTTTTGAAATGTTTGGATTGGCCTTGCCATGCTGATTGACAATGAGTGACCACACCTGGGAAGGAGAAGAGCAGCAGAGGACAGACGGAGGCTGAGAGAGGCTGAAGGAGACGGCAGAGCGCACCAGGAGCACAGACGGAGGCTGAGAGAGGCTGAAGGAGACGGCAGAGCGCACCAGGAGCACAGACGGAGGCTGAGAGAGGCTGAAGGAGACGGCAGAGCGCACCAGGAGCACAGACGGAGGCTGAGAGAGGCCGAAGGAGACGGCAGAGCGCACCAGGAGCACAGACGGAGGCTGAGAGAGGCTGAAGGAGACGGCAGAGCGCACCAGGAGCACAGACGGAGGCTGAGAGAGGCTGAAGGAGACGGCAGAGCGCAACAGGAGCACAGACGGAGGCTGAGAGAGGCTGAAGGAGACGGCAGAGCGCACCAGGAGCACAGACGGAGGCTGAGAGAGGCTGAAGGAGACGGCAGAGCGCACCAGGAGCACAGACGGAGGCTGAGAGAGGCCGAAGGAGACGGCAGAGCGCACCAGGAGCACAGACGCACGCAGCAAAGGGATTAAGAGACACGGCAGTCCGAGAGAGGGTCGACGGAGCACCTTCGCAGCCCTGGAAAGACTCTGGTTTTGAGAAAATACTTTTAACCCTTTTAACATTTGAATTCTTTGTATTGTTTTAACTACGTTTAATTGTATTTTAACATAGTTTTAGACTATCTTTTTACTGAGATTATATTTTAGACGGCTCTGATTTTAGTTTTCTGAGTAAAGATTTTATGTTCTGAATAAATGATTGTGTTTTAAAGTTGGCTCCTTGATTACCCAGTGTTGCTCTCTTCCTGATTTAAAAGAACCCTTTCGCTCTCCATAAATGATTACCCCTCCCCCTCCTTTAAAATTGCAATCACCCCGTCCCGCTGATGCATGCTGGGAGATGTAGTTCTGTGTGTTCTCACCGGTACATGATGCTCTGCAGGATGGAGGCGAAGGGTGTGATCCCGATCCCGGCCCCGATCAGAACCGCATGCTCCGAGGCGAAGATCTGCCGCGTGGGGGTCCCATAGGGTCCGTCCACATAACACTGCCACACACACCACCCACACACACACACACACACACACACACACACACACACACACACACACACACACACACACACACACAGTATTTCTTTATATTTTATAGTTTTTTTATCTCTTTTTGAATATTACCTTTCTTTCGAAAACGTTTGGAAGATTGTGAGAAAATAGAAACAGGAAACAGGAAACAGGAATAGTGAAAGACGTTCGTGAAGACGCTCAGATGTGTTTGCAGACCTTGATGTTGCAGACTCGGTGATTCTCGCCCAGCTTGGCAGGGACCTGCAGGTTCAGACGCAGAGAGCACATTAACTCAGCATCAGATATAGAGCAGAGGAAGTAAAGACTAAACACCTACATATTTAAAAGATGAACAAAGTCACACAAGAGGCAGTTTATATAAGAGAGAGACCGGATCAGCTAAAGAGCCGCACTGCTGACATACGGTCTATACATTGAAGGGAAACATCAAGTGTGAATTGTGTTTCAAGGATTCAGTGCAGTTATGACAATGAGCATCTGAGGCCACAGGCTCCTCCTACAGCGCAACACAATAACACAGATAATAGTGCAAGTAAATAGAATAGAATATAAATAGTTCTTAGTTTACGAGTCCTCTTATATCTGTTTCTTGTTTAACGCTGTCTGTTGCTTCCAATCCAACTTTATCTATATAGCACTTTCAAACCTCCAGACCAAAGTGCTGTAGAGAGATGAGCTCACACAACATCAAATACATACATTTAAAATACAAACACAAAACAAACCAGAATAAACGTAATAATAATAAACATAAAAACAGCCATATAATAAATAGACCACTGAAAGCAAATAAAAGCAACAATCTACTTGTTTCCGAGTGCTAAGCAGAAGAGGTGGGTTTTTAGACGGGATCTAAAAGCAGTCAGTGTGGGAGCCTGTCTGATGAGCAAGGGTCGTTCCACAGGTTAGGGGCGGCAGCAGAGAAAGCACGGTCCCCTCTGCGCTTAGACTTTGTTGTTGGCACCCTCAGGAGCAACTGATCAGCTGACCTGAGAGTGCGAGTGGGCGTGTAGCTGTGTGACAGCTCAGAGAGGTAGGGCGGGGCCATTGAGGGCTTTAAAAGTACATTTCTATAGGGCCCGGGGAATCATGGGAATACTGACCTCTCTGAGGGGAGGAGCCTCTCCTCTCTCCGCTGGCTCCAGCCTATCAGGAGGAGGCTCTGCAGGGTCTGGGGGCGGGGCTTGGGGGTCTAGGGGCGGGGTAAATCCTCTCTGACGGTACATCTTCAGCTCGATGGCCTCGTCCTCATTAGAAGCTACACCGTTACAGTCTGTAGAGCTGAAGAACTCCTGAGGAGAAACGGCAGCTCAGAGAGAATGTGTGTGTGGGTGAGTGAGTGCGTCTGTGAGTGTGTGTGTGTGTGTGTGTGTGTGTGTGTGTGTGTGTGTGTGTGTGTGTGTGTGTGTGTACCTCCGCTCCCCTGCGTCTCCTCAGACTGGCGCTCAGTCTCTTGGGCTCCAGCTGCTCCTCCTGGGTTCTGAAGAACTCGTACAGGCGGTTGGTCCATTGACCCATGGAGCGGATGTGAAGCCACAGACTGTCTGCAGGTCAAAAGTCACACTGTGAGTCCAATGGGATTTCGCTAAGCTAAAGGAGGCTAATGTTGGGCTATAAAGGAACTACGCCACGGTCACATGGCTTCACGTCACCACCGCTAAGCTAAAGGAGGCTAATGTTGGGCTATAAAGGAACTACGGCACGGTCACATGGCTTCACGTCACCACCGCTAAGCTAAAGGAGGCTAATGTTGGGCTATAAAGGAACTACGGCACGGTCACATGACTTCACGTCACCACCGCTAAGCTAAAGGAGACTAATGTTGGGCTATAAAGGAACTACAGCACGGTCACATGACTTCACGTCACCACCGCTAAGCTAAAGGAGGCTAATGTTGGCCTATAAAGGAACTACAGCACGGTCACATGACTTCACGTCACCACCGCTAAGCTAAAGGAGGCTAATGTTGGGCTATAAAGGAACTACAGCACGGTCACATTACATTACATTACATTGCATTTAGCTGACGCTTTTATCCAAAGCGACTTACAATAAGTACATTCGACCAGGAAGACATAACCTTGGAGAAAACAGAATCATAAAGTACATCAGGTTTCATAGAGCCAAACATTTCAAGTGCTACTCAACTGGCTTTAGATAAGCCAGTCCTTTATTAGTATATAAGTGCTTTGTTAGTAATTCTATCGCTCAAAGTGGAGTCGATGATGTTGGGCTATAAAGGAACTACAGCACGGTCACATAATAATAATAATGGATTTTATTTATATAGCGCTTTTCACAACTCAAAGACGCTTTACAGTATGAGGGAGGGGAGACAAACAAGGACAGGCAAACAAGTAAGTAAAAAATAAAAAGGCAGTCAAGAGGAAGTTGATTGAGAGAGGGGGGGGCTTATGGGTAGACAGAGTTGAAAAGATGTGTTTTGAGGCGGGACTGAAAGACTGTGAGGGACTCAAGAGTCACAGAGATCTTGGGGGAGGGGATTCTAGAGCCTAGGAGCTGCCACTGAGAAGGCTCTGTCCCCAAAGCTGCAGAGTTTGGATGTGGGAGTGGATAGGAGTCCGGCTGCGGTGGATCTGAGGGACCGTGGGGGTTGATAAGGAGTGAGAAGGTTTGTGAGAGAAGGGGGGGGGGGGCAGATGGTGGAGTGCTTTGTAGGTGAGGACCAGAATTTTGTAGTTGATGCGATGGGAGACAGGAAGCCAGTGGAGGTCTTTGAGGACTGGGGTGATGTGACGCCATGATGTGGTATGCGTGAGGAGACGTGCAGCTGCATGTTGAACCCGTTGGAGTCTGTTGAGGGATGTAGTGCTGATGCCGTAAAGAAGTTAGTTGCAGTAGTCGAGGCGGGAGGAAATGAAGGCATGGATTAGTTGTTCGGCTGCGGGGCGGGTGAGAGAGGGTAGGATTTTTGCAATATTGCGGAGGAGGAAAAATGAGGTTTTGACTGTTTGGCGGATGTGAGGTTCGAGGGAGAGGGTGGGGTCAAAGATTACGCCAAGGTGGCGTGCCTGATTGGAGGGGAAACAATGGTGCCATCGATGGTGAGAGTTATGTTAGTGACCTTGCTGAGGGTGGATTTGGAGCCGATTAGGAGGAGTTCTGTTTTGTTGCTGTTCAGTATGAGGAGGTTATGTTGCATCCAAGTTGTAATAGCTGTCAGACAGGAATCGATGTGGGTAAGGGGGGGGTTATGGAGGGGTTTGGTGCTGAGATAGATCTGAGTGTCATCAGCATAGCAGTGGAAGTCCAGGTTGAAGTGGCGGAGTATCTGACCGAGGGGGAGGATGTAAATGATGAAGAGGAGGGGACCAAGTACTGATCCTTGAGGAACGCCTTGGGTGACTGAAGCTGTGGCAGAGGAGTGGTTGGGGAGGGAGATGAAGTGGGATCGTTCAGTGAGGTAGGACTGGAGCCATCTGAGTGCAATACCTTCAATACCAATGTCCCTGAGTCGGGTGAGCAGGATGTTGTGGCTCACGGTATCAAAGGCTGCACTCAGGTCGAGGAGGATGAGAATATTGAGGGAACCAGTGTCAGCAGAGGTGAGGAGGTAATTGAGGACTTTGACGAGTGCAGTTTCTGTACTGTGGTGAGGACGAAATCCAGACTGAAGGGGTTCGTAAAGCTGGTTGGTTTGGAGATGGCAGTGAATTTGTTTGTCTACAATGCGTTCAAGAGTTTTTGAGAGGAATGGTAGGTTGGAGATGGGGCGGTAATTAGTGAGGGAGGAGGGATCAAGACCGGGTTTCTTGAGGATTGGAGTAACGGCAGCAGTTTTGAAAGCAGAGGGGACGGTTCCATGGGACTACGAGGAGTAGAAAAGGTTAGCAAGATAGATTACCACCGCTAAGCTAAAGGAGGCTAATATTGGGCTATAAAGGAACTACAGCACGGTCACATGACTTCACGTCACCACCGCTAAGCTAAAAGTGGCTAATGTTGGGCTATAAAGGAACTACAGCACGGTCACATGACTTCACGTCACCACCGCTAAGCTAAAGGAGGCTAATGTTGGGCTATAAAGGAACTACAGCACGGTCACATGACTTCACGTCTCCACCGCTAAGCTAAAGGGGGCTAATGTTGGGCTATAAAGGAACTACAGCACGGTCACATGACTTCACGTCACCACCGCTAAGCTAAAGGTGGCTAATGTTGGGCTATAAAGGAACTACAGCACGGTCACATGACTTCACGTCACCACCGCTAAGCTAAATGAGGCTAATGTTGGGCTATAAAGGAACTACAGCACGGTCACATGACTTCACGTCACCACCGCTAAGCTAAAGGGGGCTAATGTTGGGCTATAAAGGAACTACAGCACGGTCACATGACTTCACGTCACCACCGCTAAGCTAAAGGTGGCTAATGTTGGGCTATAAAGGAACTACAGCACGGTCACATGACTTCACGTCACCACCGCTAAGCTAAAGGGGGCTAATGTCGGACTATAAAGGAACTACAGCACGGTCACATGATTCCACGTCACCACCGCTAAGCTATTTTATGTGATAAATTCCTTATGTGTGAAAAGCTAATTGTGTGTGTGTGTGTGTACCTGACTGCTCGGGGGGGCTGCTGATGGTGAAGGGGTGCCACTCGTACTTGGCGATGGCGGGGATGTTAATGTAGACGTAATCTCCTGGTTTGAAGTGGAAGAACTGAGGACGTTTGATCACCAGGTGAGTCACCTGCACACACATACAGTAACCCAAACACATTTTATACAAAACATCTGATATCTTAGGCAGAGATGGCAAAAGTACACACAGCCTTTACTCGAGTAGAAGTACAGATACTCGTGTTTAAAAATACTCTGGTAAAAGTACTTACTAAACTTCTTTACTCAAGTAAACTCAATGTGAAAGTTCACATTTCAGGTTTGACATTTGGCATATTAATCTGTGTACCTTCAGCTGCCCTCTTCCTTCTCTTCTTATGTTCCTTCATAGATGTAGCTTCCTTCCTTCCTCATTCTTTTGTTCCTCCTCTATTTCTCCACCTTTCTCTTTCTCTTGCTCACTGTCTTCACTGTCAGTGGGAGCACGGATACTTCTCTTGCTCTTCTGGGCCCCTTTCTCTTTCCTATCACCCTTCTTTTCTGCCTTTTCAGTGTCCATCTCCTCTCCGCTGAAAGCGGGTAAGACCAGCACTAACCCTAACTCAAATAACTTTGTTGCTTTAAGACAATTTCATTAGAAGTTGTCTTAACTCAATAAACATCGATGCAAACTGTTGCGTTGATTTTATTTGTTGAGCCAAGGCATTTGTTTTTAGAGTGTAACTAGCAGCTGTTTGAAAGAGTACCTGACCTCCCTTTATATATACAGTGGGGCAAAAAAGTATTTAGTCAGCCACCAATTGTGCAAGTTCTCCCACTTAAACAGATGAGAGACCTGTAATTTTCATCCTAGGTACACTTCAACTATGAGAGACAGGATGGGGGGAAAGAATCCAGGAAATCACATTGTAGGATTTTTAAAGAATTTATTTGCAAATGATGGTGGAAAATAAGTATTTGGTCAATAACAAAAGTTCATCTCAATACTTTGTTCTATACCCTTTGTTGGCAATGACAGAGGTCAAAGGTTTCCTGTAAGTCTTCACAGGGTGTTCACACACTGTTGCTGGTTTGTTGGCCCGTTCCTCCATGCAGATCTCCTCTAGAGCAGTGATGTTTTGGGGCTGTCGCTGGGCAACACGGACTTTCAACTCCCTCCAAAGATTTTCTATGGGGTTGAGATCTGGAGACTGGCTAGGCCACTCCAGGACCTTGAAATGCTTCTTACGAAGCCACTCCTTCGTTGCCCGGGCGGTGTGTTTGGGATCATTGTCATGCTGAAAGACCCAGCCACGTTTCATCTTCAATGCCCTTGCTGATGGAAGGAGGTTGTCACTCAAAATCTCACGATACATGGCCCCATTCATTCTTTCCTTTACACGGATCAGTGGTCCTGGTCCCTTTGCAGAAACACAGCCCCAAAGCATGATGTTTCCACCCCCATGTTTCACAGTAGGTGTTCTTTGGATGCAACTCAGCATTCTTTCTCCTCCAAACACGTCTAGTTGAGTTTTTACCAAAAAGTTCTATTTTGGTTTCATCTGACCATATGACATTCTCCCAATCCTCTTCTGGATCATCTAAATGCTCTCTAGCAGACTTCAGACGGGCCTGGACATGTACTGGCTTAAGCAGGGGGACACGTCTGGCACTGCAGGATTTGAGTCCCTGGCGGCGTAGTGTGTTACTGATGGTAGCCTTTGTTACTTTGGTCCCAGCTCTCTGCAGGTCATTGACTCGGTCCCCCCGTGTGGTTCTGGGATCTTTGCTCACCGTTCTTGTGATCATTCTGACCCCACGGGGTGAGATCTTGCGTGGAGCCCCAGATCGAGGGAGATTATCAGTGGTCTTGTATGTCTTCCATTTTCTAATAATTGCTCCCACAGTTGATTTCTTCACACCAAGCTGCTTACCTATTGCAGATTCAGTCTTCCCAGCCTGGTGCAGGTCTACCATTTAGTTTCTGGTGTCCTTTGACAGCTCTTTGGTCTTGGCCATAGTGGAGTTTGGAGTGTGACTGTTTGAGGTTGTGGACAGGTGTCTTTTATACTGATAACGAGTTCAAACAGGTGCCATTAATACAGTTAACGAGTGGAGGACAGAGGAGGCTCTTAAAGAAGAAGTTACAGGTCTGTGAGAGCCAGAGATCTTGTTTGTTTGTAGGTGACCAAATACTTATTTTACCGAGGAATTTACCAATGAATTCATTACAAATCCTACAATGTGATTTCCTGGATTCTTTCCCCCCATCCTGTCTCTCATAGTTGAAGTGTACCTAGGATGAACATTACAGGCCTCTCATCTTTTTAAGTGGGAGAACTTGCACAATTGGTGGCTGACTAAATACTTTTTTGCCCCACTGTATATATAGAACAATAATGTCATTGTTAGCTAATGAATGTTTCCATGCTGAACAACGGCAACATGACAACGTTTCCATTGGTCCCTCTTCTTTAGAGAAGACCAGGAAATGATGGATACACGGATCGTGTTCAAATCAATAGGCACGCAATGACTCTAAAGAATAATGATCACGCACCAAACACACATTCAGACTAAAGGAACCAGCTGTTTGGGAAATGAGAGAAGTAGTGAGTAAAGTACTGATACCAGACAAATTTACTTAAGTACAGTAACAAAGTATTTGTACTCCACTACTTCCCACCTCTGTATCTAGGGCAACAGGTGCGAACTCAACGCCCTGAACTCTCCATCAGGAGGAACTCTTCATTACCTTGGAGGGCAGCATGTTGACCTCCACGATGTAAAGGCCTCCCATCCGAGAGACGGCCATCCCCACGATCTTCTCCAGCAGGAAAATCAAACCTGGAACCATGAACCACTTCCAGAAGTTCGAACAGTGCACCATGAGCAGAGACCACACCCACACATAGGACAGGTGAGACCAGTAAAACACCTGCAGGATGACAACACACACACACACACACACACACACACACACACACACACACACACACACACACACACACACACACACACACTGTTATTAAGGTGACCACACAGAGCTTAATAGCAATGCATCTATATCACTGGTACCAACCTTTTCCATTAAGAAACCTGTTACCCATATATAGTGTGTTGTTGTTGTGTTTGCAGGAAACTGAAAAACAGCATGATTTTGTCCCCAAACATCAAAAAGTTCAATTATGAAGACAGGGCCGTTGTAGCTGATATAATAGAAAGCAGCATTTTATAAAATATGTGGTTTTAATGGATACACACTTAAAGGCCACCTATTCTGCTAAATCCTCTTCTTCATGTTTTTCTACATAAACATGTGTCTCCTCTGTGTTCAGAGACTCTTTAAGGAACAAAGACCCCCTCTCTTTTTGTCCTGACCAATCTTCATAAAACCTGTCTGAAAATGAGCTGATCAGATTTTGGCCACTTTATGATGTCATAACGATGTTTCGTCTTGTGTAACCATTAGCCAATCAGCAACAAGGTAACCCCCCCCCCCCCCTTATCACCTGAATCTCCTCCTAGAGCTCCATTGAGTTCTTTGTAACCAAATCTCTCTCAGAGGGGCGTGGGGAGGGGCTCCTTGTTTTCATCTAAAGTAACAGACAGAGAATCAGCACTTTGGAAACAGGGCTGAAACAGAGGGGATTATGGGTAATGCTGCAATGATCTGTTTGGTGTTTCAGCCAATCAGAGACAGGCTCTGTGTATATCTGAGACCTGTGATATATTGATGATAAAGAGTGTAATAGGGGACCTTTAAGAAACCTCTTTAAGTTACCTGTATATACTCCCACCTTTAATATAGTTTTCCACGTACCTCAAAGTGTTTCCTCGTACCTCAAAGTGTTTCCTCGTACCTCAAAGTGTTTCCACGTACCTCAAAGTGTTTCCACGTACCTCAAAGTGTTTCCTCGTCTTCCACGTACCTCAAAGTGTTTCCTCGTCTTCCACGTACCTCAAAATGTTTCCTCGTACCTCAAAGTGTTTCCTCGTACCTCAAAGTGTTTCCACGTACCTCAAAGTGTTTCCACGTACCTCAAAGTGTTTCCTCGTCTTCCACGTACCTCAAAGTGTTTCCTCGTCTTCCACGTACCTCAAAATGTTTCCTCGTACCTCAAAGTGTTTCCTCGTCTTCCACGTACCTCAAAGTGTTTCCTCGTCTTCCACGTACCTCAAAATGTTTCCTCGTACCTCAAAGTGTTTCCTCGTACCTCAAAGTGTTTCCTCGTACCTCAAAGTGTTTCCTCGTCTTCCTCGTACCTCAAAGTGTTTCCTCGTCTTCCTCGTACCTCAAAGTGTTTCCTCGTACCTCAAAGTGTTTCCTCGTCTTCCTCGTACCTCAAAGTGTTTCCTCGTACCTCAAAGTTTTTTCTCGTCTTCCTCGTACCTCAAAGTGTTTCCTCGTACCTCAAAGTGTTTCCACGTACCTCAAAGTGTTTCCTTGTCTTCCTCGTACCTCAAAGTGTTTCCTCGTACCTCAAAGTGTTTCCTTGTCTTCCTCGTACCTCAAAGTGTTTCCTCGTACCTCAAAGTGTTTCCTCGTACCTCAAAGTGTTTCCACGTACCTCAAAGTGTTTCCACGTACCTCAAAGTGTTTCCTTGTCTTCCTCGTACCTCAAAGTGTTTCCTCGTACCTCAAAGTGTTTCCTCGTACCTCAAAGTGTTTCCTCGTACCTCAAAGTTTTTCCACGTACAGATGGAGCGCTCCATTTCAGACGCCTACCCGTGCGGGTCCGTGATCGGCACGGGGTGGGCCCCTGCTGAAAAGGAAAACCCCCCCACAGGACTTGAAACGCCTCCTTGATAAATACATTTAATTATAATGAAACCAGCTGCAATGGATCATGGATCCACCAGGGGGAGCCGTGATTAAAAAGCTGCCACACTGGAACTCATGTGAAATAAACAGCTGATCTACAGGTATCTGATATAGCGGATATTTGTTAAGATCCATATGTCACGGATAGGATCATATTCTGTGCTAAATAAGAGACATGTAATCATTTACTAAACATCCCCATGTTTTTATTTAACAAAATAATGTTTAATTCACGTTGGCGTAAGTACAAAACCATCGCTATGTTTTTAGATCAGGAAATGCATCGAGGCTAAAACAAACGATTTTCAATCATCATCCTCACGATCATTTAATGTATCATATGTTCGCGAGTTGAAATGAATGCACTACATTTATTCCACGTGAGTTTACAACAACAAAAATAATCGCTTTGTTTTTATATCACATCCGACCGGAGGAAAATGCAGCACGGGTCTCACTACCGATCATCCTAACCCACGGGCAAACAATAATATGTACAGTGTTAATAGTTGACTGTATTATTAGTGTCTAATATTACTGGGGGTTTCGGAATGGTAGCCTAATGGATTTAGATTTATTGTATCGGCTTCATATCGCAATATATTCCCGAAGTCTGAAATGCAAAAATGTCCCACATTAGGGCAATTCACCCTCCATTTAATCATTCATACAAAATCATATTTCGTTTATTTTTAACGAAATAAATGTGGTTTAATCCACATAATTTAGGCCTACTGTGTTAATTGTTTAGTATTGTTTAACTTGAAGGTGCCTGATGTGAACATTTCCAGAAGAACTCTAGCTTGAATGGCCTTTGTATGTATACAGTAGGCCTAACATAGGCGGCGCGTGAGGCGCAGGTTTGGGAAGGCTAAATAACTTTTGTTTTCATCTTACGCTGCCCGCCTCCGGCGTCTATAGAAAAGAGATCAACTCAGTGAAAGCACCGTCTGCTGACCGATCAGAGCTCAGTGTGCGGAGTTTAAATCTATCAAGTCATATTACAGGATAAAGGAAATACAGTTTAAACTGCCGTATGCAGAGAAGACGCCGACGTGTCGCACTTATCATTCATATCACACTGACATCACATCATCAATCAGATCATCGATCTCACATCGATATCACAATATTTCCTTATCTGAGTCAGCTTCTCGAGCCGTATCTGGCCGTGCAACACTTAGTTACATTGTCCTACTGTATGCAGACGTATTATTTTAAGCAACACATTAAGTTGACGAAACACTCAACTCAAATGTAATAAAGTCAGATCCCCTCGTGTTTTAGATGGGGCAGTATCATAAAACTGTTGTACGCTTTCAAACACTCGGTAGTTTATTTTTTAACGAGTTGTTCTGTATTCTCCTTGCAGGTGCAACTATGTGGCTTGTATCCTGGATTATATGTTTAAGTCATCATGGATGTTTAAAGTTCATATTTGTCTAATATTAGTTTACTTTTCATTAATGAAGTATGATGTTGCGCTGTCAGTACACTTGTCCCTGTTTGTGATTGGTCAAATGTAGCTAACCCCGCCCCTTTCACGTGAACGCGCTCTCAGCTGGAGAGAGAAACCCTGGCTTGATTTACCGAGTTGATGACCAGCGCCGTAGGACCGTTTAGCGAGATCTCGTTTGTTAAGGTTAGTTAAGATAACTCAAGCATATCCAGGGTATGTTGAACTGGCTTCGTGGTACAGGGCACAGGTGGCTGCATAGCAGCGCTAATGTCAAAGACATTATATTTTTATTTTACCAAGATGCAGTTACACAAATATTTGGGAAGGCTTAGCCTTCCCTAGCCTACAGCACCCGGCGCTCCTGGGCCTACAGTATAGCCCAACCATGTACACCTTCATTTTTTCCCATCCAAAGTTTGAATTGGATAAAGGTAATGGTTATCGATGGTGCTTTTATAGCCTATTGTATAATAACTGTGTGATTTATATTGCTTTTCAAATGCATATGGCCACCCATTTACACTGCTCTTCCCGTCAAGAATATGAATAGAACTTAGTTAGATCACTTTACATTTCTGCAAATTCATTTTTAATCACACACGTCTCCCCGTCCCGAAAATGATACATAAAATAAAAAGAGGAAACCATTTTCAAGTTCAGTTTTCAACGTTTTATTTAAAATGACTGACATAACACAGACACCATACTGTCGGCCTATCTGCTGCGGAAACGAGGACGAGCTATTTCGGGATCTGTTTTTCGGGGGCTCCTCAGTCTCTCATTTACCCGGCTCCTGATTAGGACACATCCTGGGGATTGTGTTTACAAACATTGACCAGACCGTTCACCAGCCCCCACCCCCCATGTTGCCCATGCTGTCCTGTGTTGCGAACTCTTTGTTTAAAACGAATTGGCCATCGGAATGTGTGGAGGAATTCTCCCAAGGGTCACATTCCACAGCTCTTCCCCCCCCCCCCCCCCCCCACTCCTGTGATCTCCCATCCCCCAGTCTGTAGGTTTGTGTTTGCATATTTCTATCCCGTAATTCATACTGGTCCTCTCACGCACATACATTCTCCTTACAGTATACATACATAGGCTATATGAGTCCGTGTATCTACGGACCATTTGTTTTTCTTTATTAAAGTAACGGAAGAGCGTCTGAGAGGCGTTTCTGCCCTTTGCTTGTTACCTTACTAAATGGTCTAATGGTCAGTGGAGCGAGGGGGCAGGCCCGCGAAACTCACGGAAGTGATTTCAAAACAAAAAGCACTCGTTTGCTTGGAACAAAGAAAACGGCCAAGACACACATTGAGTCCAGAAAATGAATGTTATTAAGGGCTGTAAATATAATAAGCCTGTGTCTAAAATTGACAACAGGCTTATTATATTTACAGCCCTTAAGATACACTTTTGTGTTTAACAGCTGACCACTACCATGACATACTTTGTTTTAGTAGATTTCGCATGAGAGCAAAATGTATAAATATGAGCATTACATTATATGAATATGAGAACAACATGCATGAATGTGTGAGTGACAATATATGAATGTGTGCATTGAAATATGATAATATGAGAGCAACATTTATGAATGTGTGAGTATATATACGTGTGTGAGAGTGAAAATGTATGTATG